ATTCTGACTCAGAGCAGCCCTGTATCTGTCACACACACCTCACGCCCGCGACCATCAAGGTGATTCTGACACAGCTTGCCGAACAGAGTAGAACTGCCCTTGTGTACAAATGAGACTCTTTAGTGGTTTTGAACTGCCGATAGCAGCCCAGCATGTAAACTACCATGAGACCAGGGCCCCATATCTATAGTATTCATTTATTCAAAAGATACCTGCTTGGGACTCTGCAAGTTACTAAAGATGCAGTCAGGAATATCTTTGCAGTTAATGGTTTATCCGACTTATGACTAGTAGCATTTTCAACCTACTAAGGTAGGACTTATAAAGTTCTGTGCCCCACAGGGGTTTCCATAGGAGCTCTGGTGGCACTTTGTGTTAGGCATTGGGCTGCTCCCAGGTTCAAACCCACCAGCTGCACCAGGGAAGAAAGTTGGAGAAACGGTTTTCTCTGTGAGGATAGATAGTCTTGGAAATGGTCTATATGTATGATCACTGTGCCTCATTGGCAGCGTGTTTGAGATGTCCAAGAATATTCGTGTTGATCTTCCAATGGAAACTAAGTTTGGTTTTCTGTGGTTTTTTGTAAAGAATGTTTTTCTCTGTATCTCTGTTGTCTCCTGCCTACTCAATCTCTGGAACAAACTCTTGCTAATGGTAAATGCTTTGTAAATAACAAATACTTACTTGACAAATGCAAGAAGATTATGTTTCCTAGTAACTACCTTGCCCCTTGTCCATTCAAGAAAAATGACTGATTCGCTTATTTCAGAGCGCACGCACACATAAAACAAAGCACAAGAACAAGACTTTTCTGGAGTTGGGTTGACCATAGGGGACTGACCGAAGAAGTGTTCTTTATAGATTGGAATGTTGTGCAGCCATTAAAGTATAATTCAATAGCACCAATTGACATGTGAAAGTGGTCATGGTACATTGTTGAGTGACGAAAATGGAGTTACAAATGACAAAGCCATATGAATTCTGTGGGCCAAATTGTGTGTGTTGATAGAACATTTGCTATTTCAACCATCTTCCCACGTATAATAAGTGACGTTAAATACAGTCTTGTTGTTAAACCCTCACCGTGTACTGTTCTCACATTTTCCCATCACTTTTTAGGCGCATTTATGAAGGAAAGAATACGTACAATGCACAGCAAAGAGGTCTTTTACAATTAGTAGCATGAATAAATCATCTCTGAGCTTATGAATATTCTTATTTTTCTTTATGCGTATTTCCAGATGTGGCTACATGAATCTTGCATTGTTCTTAATGAAATTACTTAGAATTAAGAATGTAAGTTGATGCATACAGTTTGGCCAAAAACCTGAGCTTACAGCTTGTGAAATGGTGCTTTCCTATATTAGTAAAATTTGAGCGGTAGTGTTCTCATTCAGTTGAGAGTTGGAGAAGTAGTTCCAACCAGTTTGCTCTGAGATGGTTCTAGAGTAAAAGCAAGTGCACAGTCACATCTTAAGACGGGGAGACGAGGGCTTCTTACTCTGCTCTTGCTGACCCGGGTTGGCGCTTTTCTTCCCCTGCAGACCAAGTGATGACCACTTTGTACAGATCATGTGTATCCGGAAAGGGAAGAGAATGGTTGCCCGTATTCTCCCTTTCCTCTCCTCAGAGCAAGCAGCGGACATTCTCATGACAACAGCCAGGAACCTCCCTTTCCTCATCAAGAAGGACGCACAGGATGAGGTGATTCTCACGCACAGGCCTCTCACCTTGGGGTCATAGCCGATAACATCTCTAGAATCCAAACTTCTTGCCCTCTCCCTCTCCCTTGCTTTATCTAACCTTTGGCAATTTGATTTGCTTGTTTAAAGCAATACCTTCAGGCCTCCTTGATTTGATTGTTCGTTGCATAGGCGCTGTACACTAAACGTGAATAAAGCAGCAGTCCTGTCCTACGTGTAACATAGTCAGAGTGTAACAGCTAATAGAGAATTGTCTGGCAAGCACGTACTTTAGCCCTACCCCAAACCTGCTGGATCAGAATTGGCAGAGGAATGATTGGAGCTTCTGTAGTTTTCATAAGGTTCGCCTCTGAGTCTGATGCTCACCAAAGTTGGGACACTGAGTCTCAGTTATTTTGCTGGTGGGTTGTTGTCAGTCACTTAATAATGCCCTGTGGAAATAGTTCAGTGGTGTTCCACAGGAATCAGGGCAGCAGTTTTTAAACAATTTGTACCGTGCTTTAAGTTGGAATTTGGAACATGACTATTCCGTGTACAAAATAATGTCTTGATTAAAGTTGCTATCTGCTTACCTGCTATCTGCTCTCATAGGACTTGAAAGATTAGCAGTGAGTGACAAGGATAGTACCCAAGCTCACTATCCTTGAGTCAATTCTGATTCATAGCTACTCTTTTATCATGTTTCCAAGGCTGTACATCTTAATGGGAGCAGATAATCTCACATTTCTTCGTAGGAACTACTGGTAGGTTTGTACCACTGACCTTGGCATTAGCAACGTTAGCACCACCTGGGGCTCCTGAAGGATAAGACAAGGGGGATAAGATTAGAGTGAGATTCGGGAAACTAAGAGCCATTTGAGAGAAGCTGAGAGCTCTATTGGACTACAGCGTGAGTAAAAGGCTTGGTGGTGATGTTGGTAGTGGTGGGTATGGGCCATCAAGTCGATTCTAATTCTTAGTGACTCTATGTACAGCAGAAAGAAAGAGTTCCTAGTCCTGCGCCATCTCACAGTTGTTACGTCTGAGTCACTGTGCCAGTCCATCTCCTTGAGGGTCTTGCTGTTTTTCGCTGACTTTCTACTTTGTGAGCCATGATTTCTTTTTCCCGGAATTGGACCCTCCTGGAAAGATATACAAAGTATATAAGATGCCAGCCTTGCTACTAGGGAGCATTCTGGTTGTACTTCTTCTAAGACAGATGTATTGATTCCTTAGGCAGTCCATGGTAATATCAATATTCTTTACCAGTACTGTAGTTCAAATGCATCAGTTCTTCTCTGGTCTCTCTTTTGTGCAGTTGCACATGCAGATGAGACGATTGAAAATACCACGTTTGGGTCAGATGCAGCAAGTTTGCACAGTGCAGCACATTGAGTTATTTCTTGCTGCTTCTATGACTGTGGAGCCAAATACAAAGGGTACCCAAATAAACTAGAATTGCACTGGGCAAGCGAAGCTTTCATAGGATGCATTTTTCCCACTGGGCAAGCATCAAGCAACTCACTCTGAGTTAGTGCACCCAGTGGCGTCACCTGGAAAGGTTCTCTCTGGTCACAGTGAATTTTTTCATAAAAGCAGTTAACACTAGAATCTCATTTTTCGTGATGGCTGCTGTGCGGCTGTGAAATTTTGTTTCCTGCTTGGGAAAAATGCCACAGAAACTGTTGTGATGTTAAACACAAAGGACAGCAATATGGGAAAAACTCGAGTGTACAGAGTGGTTTTCTTGGCTCAAAAAGGTGAAATGTCTGTTGATGACAACCTTGTTCTGGATATCCATCAACATCTGAAACGGATGAAAATGTCAAATCATAGCACATTTGGAGTTCATTCCATTAGGTTAGACTGTTATTCAAGCTTTCTATTTAGAAGTTCTGAAATGACTGTGTAACAGTGTACAACAGAAAAGGCCTGATTTATGGCAGGCAGCGGATTGGTTTTGCCACTAGGACAATGCACCTGCTCACACAACCATCTTAGTGCACCAGTTTTTGGCAAAAAGCCATGTGCCATGCACCTTACTGACCTTGCTCCGTGCAACTCCTTTTTGTCTCTTTGAATGAAGAGGGACATGAATGGACAGCGATTTGGCAATGTAGAAGAGGTAAACAAAAAAACGAGGGAAGTGCTGTCAGCCATCCAAACAGATGAGTTTGAAAACTGTTTCCAAGAATGGAATCGCAGATTTGATAAATGTATTAAGTGTAATGGAGAATACTTTAAAGGCAATGAGGTTGTTTTGTAAAAAAATTTAACTACATAGCTTTGGGGGTGGGGGGTTGGGGATTCCAATTTTTCGGTGGTATCCTCTTGTAAAGTGAAATCCTTAAAGATGCCAACCTTCTCTCCATTTATGGTCTATCCAATTGTGAAGATTTTTGTATTCTTTACAATGAGTTGTAATCTGTAGTGGAAATTTGTAGTCTTTGATCTCCATCAGTAAATGCTTCCATTACTTTCAGCGAGCACGGTTGTGTCATGTGCTCATCGCAGGTGACACGGTTCTGGTTTTTCTGGTGTGTTCTTCAGATAGCCCAGCTTCTTGGATTGTTCGCTCAGCATACGGATTAAGTAAGTTTGGTGAAAAGATACGAGCTTAATGCACATCTTTCCTGATTTCAAACGATTCAGTATCCACTTGTTCTGTTCAAAAGACTGCTGCTTGGTCTGTTTACAAGTTCCACAAAAACACAATAAAGCATTCTGGAATTCTCATTTTTCTGTAGATTGTTAATGATTCACACAGTAAATGCCTTTTTTTTTTAAAGTCATTTTATTAGGGGCTTTTATAGCTCTTCGAACATTCCATACTGATGGCAACAAATGTACAAATGTGCTTGACACAATCAACTTATGGAATTTTTTTTCTCACATTAATACAAACTTTATTAGTGTCCTTTTTTTTTTTAGAAAAAATCGTTTTATTGGGGGCTCACAATCGTGTGGATTGTGATAAGAGTTGTACTCGGTTCTTAAGCATATGCTCCCTCTTGAAATGGTAAGATGCTGACCAGTTCTTGGTACAGTGACTTGGTATACTCCTTTCATCTTCTTTTGGCGCTCCGAAATCTTCCGATGTTTTGCTCATAGATTCGGTCGGTATTGCAGCTGGAGACCTACTTTTTGTCAGTGCTGTCCGCCTTTTGTTCTCTGACTCCCAAGTCTTTGCACATTTCATGAAGACGCTATACTTCTTGTCCAGCTTCCCTTTGAAGTTCTCTGTTCAACTCTTCTACTTCATTACTTCTTCTAGCCCCTTCACAGCCACAGCAAGTTTCAGAGTCTCTTCTGTCATTCATTTGGGTATTTTTTTTATCCATATCGTTCTTTCCCTGCTTCTGAAACTAATGTGTACCTTTTTAAAAAGTTTCATTGGCACTTCATCCACATATCATGCACATACAAATCAGTAGTTCAGTCATATCAAGAAGAGTTTTATAATCATTACCACAGTTTTAGAACATCTTCCTTGTACTCATTGTTATTATTGTAATTTTTTTAATCGTGGGGAAAATATCCAGAACTAACCATTCTCCAGTTCAACAGCTTCTTATATATATGACGCAGTGCCATTGATTAAACTCTTCATGTTGTGGAACCATTATTGATATCTTTTCCAAATTAATCTACCACCATTGACATAAATTCAGTGCCCCATAAGCAAAAATTCTTCCTCCTTCACCATGGTAACCTTTGGTCAACTTTGTGTTTTGGTTGCAGTAGTTTTCATGATAGAGTATACACGTCGTACACATCCATGGTTACATTGCTTTAAAAAAGACTTGTCTGTACATCACCACAATCAGTTCTGATGTCCATAGTAAAGACTCGTTCGAGTAGACCACAGAAAGTGTGTCTGCCTGTTCTTCATCCTCGGGTGCCATTTAAAGTAAAGCCAGCGACCACTCTTGATAGTGTGGACATTGAGTACCTGGAAGCACTTTGGATTTATTCTCCTGGGTTAAAACCTCCTTACGTGGCAGCTCTGTTTTAACTTCCCAGTCAGGGTCACACGATAAAAAGAAATGAAGGCTAGAATTCAAGTCATTGAGTTCTGGTTTTCTTGTTGGGCCCCTTCAAGTCAGTTCCAGTTCATAGCAATCTTAGGTGCAACAGAACTAAACACTGCTGGGTCCCGTGTCATCCTCACAATTGTTATGTTTGAGCCCATTGTTGAAACCGTGTGTCAGTCCATCTTGCCAAGGGCCTTCCTTTTTTTCCACTGTCCTGCTGCTTCACCAAGCGCGATGCCCTTCTCCAGGGTCTGGTCTCTCCTGCTAACACGTCCACAGTACCTGAGGTGAAGTCTCGCCAGCCTTGCCTCTGAGGAGCACTCTGGTCCTACTTCTTTTAAGACAGGTTTGCTCTTCGGCAGTCCACAGTACTTCAGTGTTCTGTGCCAGGCCTGTTCCAGCTACGTGCTGTGTGACACTCAACACCACATTTAGCTTCCCCAATAAGCTGCAGAGTTGGGTGATAATTGACCTGTTTTGTTCTCAGATTTTATGAAGACAAAACCGGATATAATTTCTCTAGAAATGCTGATTCCATTCATAGCACTCTGAACTGATCTTAGAAAACTTATCACAGTATAGAGAACCCCTGGTGACGAAGTGGTTACATGTTGGGCAGCTAACCGTAAGGTCAGCAGTTTAAAACCACCAGCCATCCTGTGGGAGAAAGCTTTCTAGTTTCGTAAACAGTTACGGTTTTCCGAAACTCACAGGGATACTTGTACCCTGTTTTGTAGAGCTGCGCTGGGAGTCAGCATCTACTTAATGGCAGGGAGGATTTTTGCATTTTTATCACAATATAGTGACATTTCCAGTTTACCTGTGTCTTCCTCGCTATAGATGCCTTGAGGGTCTGTGCCTTGTTTACTGTTTGTTTGTAGCCCATAGCTGCTGACACCTTGTAGGCATGTGAGTATTTCTAAGTGTAAATTACAGTACTGGTGTTTCATTATTGTGCTGGAGAAGTGACTTTACACCCTCGATGGAATGGGTCATGAGGTTTCCAGGGGAGATGGAGATGACAGCGTTCTCAGTAGCTATTCTAGAATCTCGTCAAGACAGTAGTAGTATCTGCCAAACTTGCCACCCCTTTTTGGTCAGCCGTGCCTGGGTGGTTGCAAATGCACTTGCCCACCCTCCCATCCTTGCCCCAGGGTGGGGTTACTGTTTCCGGAAGTAGCAGGAGTAATATTTTCACGTTTTCCTTGCAGGTGCTGCCATGCTTACTGAGTCCCTTCTCCCTCCTCCTCTATCACCTTCCATCAGTGACCATCACCAGCCTTCTGCAACAGCTAATGAACCTACCTCAGAGCACAGCTGCACCAGCACCCACCAACCCTCACCTCGCTGCTGTGCTCCAGAATAAGGTCGGCCTGTGCTCTCGTGTCCCCAACTCTGCAAGGTTGTAGAATGGATAGTGGCTGGCCATGGCCAGTAAGGACTTGCGGAAAGGGCTTCTGACAGTCAGGGGTGGTGCAATACTGCTAGTGTCGGGATTTTCTGTCTCCCTTGTGAAATAAACCTAGTCTCGTGGCTTCACAGTGTCACCTGGGATCCACACTTCTTCGCTTTATCTTCTCTGCCATGTGTAGCAGAGGGTGCCATGTCCTGATCCCTCATGGTCCAAGTCGGATGTAGACTGAAGTTTCTCTTTCCGTCAGGAAAAAAGGGTGGGCGCACAAGGCAACATGGTATGGGTTGGCCATGTCTCCTCCCAACCTGGAGCTTTCCCCAAAGTTATAGCCAACAACTTCTTCATCGCTGTCTCAATGGGCAGGACTTGGTGCTGTGCTCTTAGCTAAGTGCAGGGAAGCCTGCAGAATGACTGTTCTTTTCGATCCATTTCTGTGCCCGAATATAGAGGCGTCTTTTCGATCCATTTCTGTGCCCGAATATAGAGGCGTAATCCCATGTTATCTGTGGCTGGTAAACATTGCTTCTTCACCTCGGGTTGGGGTGGGGAAAGGCAGAGGGGACAATGGACATGGCCATTTTCTGTCATTATTGGATATGTTTAGTCGGTCATGACTGTACGCATAGGGAAGTCAGGGGACTGATGCACCCCCCTCTGTCTCTGACTGCCTCCCCTCATAGACCGTGCAGCCGCAAAGGGGTCCTTTTGCTTTGGTGCTATCCCCCATTTAGTGCAGGGTTCCCCCCAAGGGGTCGAGGGGGATTCAGTGCAGTGCTACATTTGTTCTTTTCCGTCTCCTCTTGTAGTTTGGCCTGTCACTGCTCCTCGTCGTCCTGAGCCGTGGGGAAGACCTACAGAGTTCAGACCCTGCTACGGAATCAGCGCAAAACAGCCAGTGGTCAGTCTGGGCTGGGCTGCTTCTCTTATTCTACATCCTTTTGCGTAATTTGTAAGGGGCACTGATGGAGTGGGTCACACGTGGATCTGCTGACAAAAGGGTCAGCAGTTTGAACGCGCCAGTTGTTCTTCAGGAGAAAGATGGGGCTGTCTGCTCCTTTAAAGATTTGAAAAGACATGGTTCCCCATTGTCCTTGAGGGTGCTGTGAGTGGGCAAGCACAGGGTCATTTGTCCTTGGCTTTCCTCACCAGGACAGAGGTGATGTTCATGGCAACTCGGGAGCTGCTGCAGATTCCCCAGGCAGCCCTGGCCAAGCCCATCTCCGAACCCACCAACCTCGTGTCCCTCTTCTCACGCTACGTCGATCGGCAGAAACTGAACTTGCTGGAGACGAAACTGCAGTAAGTCGGAAACAAGAACACGCGTCATGAAGCTGGCACTTCAGTAGCTACTGATGAGTAGAGGGTGTGGGGAGGAGTGAAACGGAATTTGGTGGAAAAGATTAAAATCAACTCCTAGCTATAAGTGCTGTCCTGGGGCAGTAGTCACAGAAGCTGACGAAGTGCTCAGGGAGAGCGCAGGCAGGCTCTTGGGTGTTTGGTTGTGATGATTCTTACAAGAATCTGTCTTGATTTGTTTATTCAAACAAGTTTCTCTTTTTCTTTATACCCTTAGGCTTGTTCAGGGGATCCGATAAAAGATCCCCAAATGCGTCACGTACCTCCTTTTGGCTGCCACCTGCACTGCTGTCATCACCAATGGAGTGTTTTAAATGTGAGAGGGAAGGTAGCTTTGTCCCCAAAGCAAAAGCCTCGGGAGATCGATCCCGGCTCCCAGGGACTCTCTCTCTGCCAGGCGTCTCCCCGCTGCTCTGTGACATTTGACTGGGTGACACTTCTGCTGGTTTCTGCCTCACCTTCTATGTTACAATTCTGCATGCCTGCCTTTACTCAGTTCTCTCAAGTTTGCATTTTCTTTGCCCTAGAAATACAAACACGCCCTCTCCCTGTATCACCACCGCTACTCAGTTCCGAGTAGATTGTAGCCCCTCCAAAGGATTCCTACCCTCATCCTACTGAAGTCTTTCTTCATTGCCCGTATTAATATGATAGGAGAACCAATTAAGTAGAAATTGACATATATCTACACCTACAACACACACACACTCCCTCAACACTCCCTTAGACAAGCATTTCTGTGATCTCCAAAAGGTCCTTAGAGAATGAGTTTTGGCTTAGAAAAAGTATTTGGTGACACACCCCTCCTCTAATTGCAGGTTGTTGTGTTTTTTTAATTACCACATTTTAAATCTCTTTTCCATCTCGTAATTAATTTGGTGGGTTCTACGTGTTTCACTATAATTAAGAGATAAGCAGTACATCTCATCAGAACTCTGAATTGGCTGGTGCCCAAATGTAGGCCGAGAAGCCCTTATTCTCTTCCCCACTTGTACTTCTCTTGTTTCTGTCCACCTCGGGAGAAAGGGCACATTGTCCCCGAGACAACCACCTCGCGCTTGGGCCCGTCCCCTCTCCAGGACGTGCAAGCACCCAGGCCGGTCCTCGCTTAGAGCCTGCTTCTGCAGTGTGGCTTTTTGTACACTCACCTTGTCTTCCTGAGACGACTTCAGCAAGCCATCTGTGGACTTACTTCGCTGTACCCTGTTTTTATTTGCTGCCGTGGGCAGAAACTCCAAATGAAAACAGACTGCTAAGTTTGGCTTGCTTTGCCCCCCACCCCATGAACAAAACAACTGTCCCTGCTAGTCCATCTCACCCAAGTCCCATTCCCAGGCAGCCAGGGGACCTGGGGTTGAACCCTAGCAGGGCAGCCTGCCGTGAGCCTGTTCATTGACCCGCTCCCATTCACCAATCAACTAGGATAGGGGGCTCTGAACCCTCATGATTATGAAATCTCCATCCATTAATGTTGCCTGATAGTCCACGCTCACCCTGTGCTGTTCTCGCCTTTTGGGATATAGTGGGGAGGACAGGTTATGATACTTAAAGAGAATACACATTTTGCACATGACATGTACAACAGTAAAATCCTCCGTTAGAACCGCTCTTTGTTCTCCATGCTCGCTCTCCTCTGTCTCCATTGCCTTCCCACTGTGTAGACCCTGCCCCCACCAGCCATGCCCCTGTGGCCTGACCCAGCTTCCCTCTCCCATCATCTACGGACTCTTTCCTTCACAACTGATCAAGTGAATACTTGATGATTTTTTTCTCCCTCCCTGTGCTTTCTCCTGTTTGGTTCCAATTAATGAAAATAAAAGTTTCTAAATTTACATTTTTATAGGGTATTGTAAATAAAAACAAATTGTATACTTGAAAAAAAAGTGCCTGCATTTCTGCTTACTGCTTCAGCATATGGTTTGTAATGCATTCTGGTGTGCAGATAAACAAGCACGCCTCTTGGGGCTGGGGACTGCAAACAATGTCTCTGTCTGATATTATAAAGGAAGCAGAGATTGTGTGTTTACATAACTTGGCTTAAGGTACCAAGAAAACTTTGTCCCCTCCACGTCTGTCCATCCATTCCTTCCGCCCCGTCTTAATTGCACAACAGAATTGTTCTCCAACCATCTGCCGTTTCTCAGCAGATGTGAATCCCCACCCCTGACTTCCAACCAAACGAAAAACAAACTGTGTCGTTGGGTCCATGCCCCACTCAGTGACCCCTATAGGACAGGGTTTCCGGGACTATGAAGCCCCAGTCTTTCTCCTGCAGAGCAGCTGGTGGTTTCAAACTGCTGAACTTGCAGAGTGAAGCTAACACACAACCAGTATGCCCCCAGAGTCTTCCCCCCCATGGCCTCCCCAACTTACACAGGAGAAAATCTACCCACGAGCAACAGGCTTGGGAGGGATTTTGTCTGCTGATTTTTGACAGACATTTTTGTCTAGAACCGTTTTGCTTTTACTCCATTGACTGGATGTACCATGGTTTGTGTATCCACTCAGCTAGTGAAGGATGTCTTCACCGGTTACTTCCAGTTTGCGCCAGTTATAGGGAAAAAAAACTATAAACATTTGAATGCAGGATTTATGGGGGAATCCATTCTTAACTCATTTGGATAATACCTCGAAACAGCATAGCAGGATAGTAAAGTAAGAGTCTGTCTAGCTTTCTAAGAGACTGTCAAACTTCCAAGCGAGCTGTATCATTTTGCATTCCCAGGAGGGACGCCTGTGAGTTCCCGTTGCTCCGTGTTCTCTCTGGCAGTTGGTAATATCAGTGCTCTGGATGTTAGCTGTTCAAATAGATACGGAACAGATCCAGATCTCCTTGATGTGCAGTTCTCTAATAACATCCTTTCATAGGCTTCTTTGCCATCCATGTGCCTGATAAGATTTCTCCTGAGAGCTTTGGTCCCTTGTGTAACCCAAGCTGTCATTGTGCACTCTTATGGGATCTTTTTCTACTGGCCTACAAATTCTTGATCTGAGATGTGTTTTGCGAACATCTCACAGTCTGTGGCTTGTCCTTTCATTCTCTTAATATCTTCAGCACAGGTTTTTACTTTATATGAAGTCCAGCTTTGTTTTTCTTGAGTAATTAGTGTTTTGTCTTCTCTAATGTATACTGCCAGACCCCGGGCCAACCTGGACTTTCTCCTGTTACCTCCTAGAAGTGTTATAGTTTGACATCGGGCCTTTAGGTCTGAGGCCCATTTGGAAATCATTTCTGTAAAAGAGGTAGGCTCTGTGTGGAGATTGAGCCTTCCGGGTGTGCGTGCTTAGTGGCTGCAGCGCCGTTAGGTAAGAAGACTGCCCTTGTCCACGGAGTCCCTTTGCTCCTTAGTCAGAGATCGGGTGACTTCCTTTGTGTGAGTCTGCTTCTGAACTTTATCTTCTGTTCCACCGGTGAGTCTTTTCTCTGCTCCTTCAATACCACAAGCTTTGGGGCGCTGCCGGGATGACCCCTGAGTGTTTTAAGAAATGCCATGAGCCCGGGTTGGCATTTAGCTACCCTCATGGTTCATAGGTGCTTAGCTCCCTCTGACATTTTATCATTTCATCTCTTCAAAGGAGATGGGAACGAGCTTGTCATTCTTTGAAGTAAGCCCATAGGTGAATTACTTGTGCCTTGAGTATCACTTTTACTCTTAAAATGTTGAAGATGTTAGAACCGGCAAAATTGGAAAAAGTTAGAAATGGGAATGTGGAAAGGAAGCTGTCCTTTGTACCAATGAATGCAACACCATTCCTCCTGAATCTGTCTTTCTCACCGTAGGAAACCATATGATTTTCAGATTTAAAATGGCCAACACCAGCCCGTTTCAGCTCACGCATACCTAGTTGTTCGATCTTTTTGTGTTCCATTTCATTTTTGACAACTTCCGATTTTCCTACATTCTTCGTTGATACATTCCAAGTTCCAATTAGGAATGGATGTTTACAGCTTTTTCTTCTCATTTTGCATCCTGTCCCATCAGCAAATGATAGTCCTAAAAGCTTTACTCCTGTGGGTTTTGCTCCATCCACGTCGTTAGGATTAGCTGGACTTCGAGAAGGCAGCTCTTCCTCAGTCATGTGAGTGCCTTCCGGCCTGGAGGGCTCATCTTCAGGCACTCGCTCTGACGATGTTCTGCTGTTAATAGTCACGCGGTCTTTCATAGCTGACCCTGGTCCGACGCTGTGTGTAAGGCTTTTAATGGCTCGTTCCTCAGAACTAGCCGATTCCTTCTTTGTAGTCTGTTCTTAGGAAGCTCTGCTGAAACCTCTTCACTTTGCGTGACCTTGCTGGTGTCTGAACATATAAGTGACTGCTGCCGGCATCACAGCAACACACAACTCACCACAGCCTGACAAATGGACAGACAAGTGGTGGAGTACCACTGCAATGAGAATAAAATAACCTGGCAGAAGCTGTATCCTCTCAGAACAGGAAAGAATACAAAATCCTAGATAGCTCAAGTTCATTTGGGTGGGACTGTCCCTCCAGGGTTGCCCTTCCATCCTCAGAAGACTGGCTTCACAGTGTCTGAAGAACACCACAGACCGTGTCGTCCAGCCTTGAAACTTAAGAGGCCAGGAAATGGCAGCTCTGAGAAGCAGTGGGGCTGGAAGACCCATGCCCGATTGCCTGTAAGGCTCAAAAGGAACTCAAGTTATGTGCGCCTTGGATTTCCATTCTCCACTGCAGCTTGAGTAATATCGGCCCTTGTCCCGAAGTGTTACCTGTGAGAAAAAGACAATGCAGCCCCCCAGGTACATTCTTTGAATCTGACTATCACAATAGCTTACAATACCAACCGATCTTTTGAGTCATGCGTGTGTCCCGGATACTGTTCTAGCACTCCAAAGGTCATTTTGAATGCTAAGCATAACCAAGGAGGGCAATGTGAACAACTTCCCAGCTGATAGAGATTTAAAGTCATCAAATTAGGTGACACACTAATCTACAGCAACGTGGCAGAGTTAAACATTAACATTCATGTATATAATATCTCTAAATAAGAAAAAGAAAACCTTGCAGTGATTGATGTATAACACAACACGCCCCAGGGAAGCGAACAACAAATATGGGTGAAGGGAGACAGCGGATGGTGTAAGATAGGAAAATAATAATTTATAATTTATCAAAGGATCACGAGGGTGGGGAGTGAAGGGAAAAAGAGGAACTGATACCAAGGGCTCAAGTTGAAGGAAAATGTTTTGAACGTGATGACAGCAGCATGTATACAAATGTGCTTGATATAATTGATATATGGATCATTATAAGAGCCCCCAATTAAATGATTTATTAAAAAAAAAAAGAGAAAACCCTGACAAATGATACACAGGTGATGGGTGAGTATTAGATAGGCACTTACATTTTTTTCACCTCTTTTGTTTTAGAAATCATTTTATTGGGGGCTCATACAACTCATCACAATCCATACATACATCCCTTGTGTAAAACACATTTGTACATTTGTTGCCATCATCATTCTCAAAACATTTTCTACTTGAGCCCTTAGTATCAGCTCCTCACAATCCATACATACATCCCTTGTGTCAAGCACATTTGTACATTTGTTGCCATCATCATTCTCAAAACATTTTCTACTTGAGCCCTTAGTATCAGCTCCTCATTTTACCCCTCCCTCCCCAACTCTCCCTCACGAACCCTTGATAATTTATAAATTATCATTTTTCCATGTCTTACACTGACTGATGTCTCCCTTCACCCACCCCTCCCTCAAGGAGGGGGTTATATGTAGATCATTGTGATTGGTTCCTCCTTTCTCCCCCACCTGCCTCTTACCCTCCTGGTATCGCTACTCACATCATTAGTCCTGAGGGGGTTATCTGTCCTGGATTCCCTGTGTTTCCAGCTTTCATCTGTACCCATGTACATGCTCTGGTCTAGCCGGATTTGTAAGGTAGAATTGGGATAATGATAGTGTAGGGGGAAGAAGCATTAAAGGACTAGAGGAAAGTTGTATGTTTCATTGATGCTATATTGCACCCTGACTGGCTCGTCTCCTCCCTGCCACCCTTCTGTAAGGGGATGTCCTGTTGCCTACCGATGGGCTTTGGGTCTCCACTCCACACTCCCCCTTATTCACAATGATAAGATTTTTTGTTCTTTGATGCCTGATACCTGATCCTTAGATAGGCACTTATGAATAATAATTGGTTTCCAAAAAAAAAAGATATGCACAAATTCACAACAGCAACTTGAAAGAGTCAATAGGAAACTTAAGGAGCAGTGATTTTGTGTTCCTGGGGGAGGACGACTCCGAAAAGGAACATGAGAGTGGTTGCACCTTCCAAGAATATAATCAGTGCCACCAAA